ATGCGCTCGGAGGTGGGGTTCTGCGCGCTGGAGGACCGGGAATTGGGGTGGGTGTGGGAGGGCGCCCTGGGGCACGGACTCTGGCTCCTCCCCGCCAGGCCCTCGGCGCTCCCGGCCACCCCACCCGGCTCCCCTCGCCCCACCGTGCCCTTCCACGCACCGCAGTTCCGAACCCCCCTCTATCCCTTCAAAGCTCCCTTGCTCCGTGGGGGGAGGGTGCTCGCGGGGCGGGGGCGGGGCCTTCCTGACCCCCTTCCCAAGTCAAAAACCCGAGGGAAGACCGGGAAGAGGCGAATAAAAAAGGGCCTTAATAGATTGAGTTCAGCACGTCTGCAGACTGCAGGGGCCCCTCAAGCACCCCCACTCAGGCTCCCCTCGAGCACCCCCAAACCAGGCCGGACCCCCACCCCCAACCCCCCTGGGTTTCCCGGGGCCGTGCCCCTTCCCCCGCACGAACCCTGGCAGATGACCATGCGAAGCTGCCTCACCCGGCTCACCCCAATTTTGTGACTTGCTGGCGGGCCTTTGTCTGGCTGCCCTTCCCAGTTCAGCACCCCCCTCCCCACTGCGCACCTGTACCCCCAGGTCCGCAGAGTTGGAGTCCTACCTGCAACAGGGGGCCAGGAAGACCCTCCCGGGATGCATCTGTCTTTTCTTCCTTCGTTGTTTCACGCATGCAGCAGTTTTCCCTCTCAGGTCTGGAGTTCCGCAGCAGGTGAGCCCAGGCCCGGGCAGGTTGGGACCAAGCGGGCCAGCGTGGGGCAGTGGCACCGCCCGGCTCTGCCCTGACCCTGCAGGAGGGCAAGCACCCATTCTAAAGCGAGCTCTCCAGTGGTCCGCGCCCCACTTCTCCCGAGCTTCCCTGTACCCTATCAGGAAAGCCAGGCTGGCAAGGGAAGCCTCGCCTGCCAGCAAGGATGGGGCAGGTTGGCCCTGGCAGGGCCCGAAGAACAGAGCTGACTCAGCAGGGCAGGCAGCCAGCTCAGCCTCTGGAATCTGAGACTGCGTGCCCGGGGCTGGCTGACGTGCGGGTCACCACTCACACACTTGGGCCTGGCCCCCTGCCACGATGGCAGATGGGGCAGCAGTGGCAGGCAGATGGGAAGGGCAGGAGGGGAAACTCCTGCGAGGCGGAGGTCCGAGCCATGCGTGGGCTGGTGACCAGCCAGCCGGGCCCAGCCCCGAGCCCATGGGCGCCCCGAGTGGGACGTGGGGGGCGAGGCCACCACAGAGTGGCCGGCCGCTGCTCCTCCGCCCCATTCCTGAATCCAGAGAAATAACGGGTCACTTTCCCACGATCCACTTGCAAGGGCGCTTTCTCCATACCATGTTTTCAGAGGCACAAAAATAAGCCAGAGCTCCCTGGAGGCACCTGCTGGGAGTGGCTGCAAGGACTGGTCCCGGAACCCCGATTCTGGACTGGAGCCTAAACAGAGCTCTGAGGAATGTGCTCTCTGACCCAGCACTGACACAGTCACCCCGGCCACTCACCCTGGGGGCCCTTACAGAGGGTGAGGCCCGCGGCCTGCCTGTGGCCACTCGGTGGGGGCCCAGCGGCCGCCTGTGGGTTGGAGTCGCTCATCAGGAGGGGAAGCAGCAAAGCTCACAGTTTCTGTTTAATTGTTTCTGCCTCTCCATGGGCAGCTGGATAAAGTCCCGCCTCTCCACAGAGTCTGGTCTCGGCAGGACCTGGGCTACCGGGGCTCCTCCACACGGCACCAGTCTCTGGTCATGGGCGCTTCTGGGGGCTGGGCCGAGAGGAGCTGGCCGCCAGTGAGGAGCGGCAGCCCGAACGCCTACTGTGCACTTGATGGGCGCCGTGTGTGCAGCTCTGAAGCGTTGCCGCTTGCTTGACCCCAGTAACAACGCCAGATGAGGCTATTATTCTGCTGTACGGGTGAGAACACAAGAACACAAAAGAGCACTTGTTCAGGTGTTCAGTCTTCCAGACAGAGCTAGGATTTGAAATCTGGCTGGCTCGGGGTGTTCTCAGCAGCCGGTCGGCCCAGCCTCTGACCGCCACGGCCTGCCTGGCATCACAAAACCCATAGGACTTTGCTGAGATGGTGATGTATTTGACTTCTTTTAATAAAGCAATAGTTTACTTTTACATCATTTTGTGCATTTTTCCATCTCAGTTGCAATCCCC